ATAAAAAAAATATATTCTTTGACAACGTGGGAAGAAATAGTCTTAAGGAATATGGCATCAAAGAGGCAACATTCTTGGCTGGGTGGGGTGGCTCACGCCTGTAATCCTAGCTCTCTGGGAGGCCGAGGCGGGCGGATTGTTTGAGCTCAGGAGTTCGAAACCAGCCTGAGCAAGAGCGAGACCCCGTCTCTACTAAAAATAGAAAGAAATTAATTGGACAACTAAAAATATAGAAAAAATTAGCCGGGCATGGTGGCGCATGCCTGTAGTCCCAGCTACTCGGGAGGCTGAGGCAGGAGGATCGCTTGAGCCCAGGAGTTTGAGGTTGCTGTGAGCTAGGCTGACGCCACGGCACTCACTCTAGCCCGGGCAAAAGAGTGAGACTCTGCCTCGAGAAAAAAAAAAAAAAGAAGCAACATTCTTGATATTTACAGAGTTATCACAAGTCAATCAGAAAAAAATGAACCAAAGATTGGAAGACAAAGTTCATTAAAGAATAAATACCAATGGCAAATAAATATATAATGTTCAAATTCACTTGGAATTTCTTAAAATGCTATTTTTTAAAAATGGTGATATTCTGGCTGGGCATGGTGGCTAATGCCTGTAATCCCAACACTTTGGGAGACCAAGGCAGGAGGATCATTTGAGGCCAGGAATTCAGGACCAGTCTGAGAAACATAGTGAGACCCTATCTCTATTAAAAATAAATAAATAAAAGAAGAAAAAAATGACGATATTCCATTTTTACATAGCATGTTGGAAAAGATTTAAACAAATTGCAATACCCAATACTGTCAAAGGTGTAAGGGGCGTTATGATATGGTTCGGTCTTTCTAGAGAGCATTTTGGGGAAGTATGCATTCTCTTTGACAATAATTCTACTTCAAGGACTATATCCTTAAAAAGCAATGGGACGAGCGCGCTTCCCCACAGCACACAGGGACGGGACATTGCCAAGTGCTCAAAGGCTCTGTGGCTCCGCGGCCTGGGCTTGAAGAGCAGCTCCGCTCCTGTTGCCTCCTGACTTCAGGCGAATGGCTTAGCAGCGTGTAGGCCTCAGTTTCCTCACCCCAAAAAAGGGGGAAATAATAGGACTTACCTCATGTGACAATTAGTAATAAATAAGACAGTTAATATAAAATGCTTTACGCAGCGCCCGACACATAAAGAAATATTCGTGGTGGTGGTTGTTCTAATAAGCCACTGTGTGAGATTTTTCCCAATTGTTCTAGAATTGGTGATCAGGGCACACAGATGATAACAAAAGAGTGCTAACTAGCTTGCACCCTTGAAGAAATTTGCCAAGAATTGGAACCAGCCAACACCCCCAAGACAGTAGGCAAAAACAGCCGAGACGTTTCCAGCCTCCTCTCCATTCCGACCACCCCATCCTGCCAGTCTGTCTAGGAAAACTGGGGAGGAGAGGGAGATGGTGATTTGCCTTATGGGGAATGCAGAATTACTACGTGGTGAGAAGAGGGCTCCTTCTTCTCCTCCTAATCACAGCTGGGCAGAAAGTGCGGCCTCGCCAGGGAAGGCAGGGACGCAGGGAGGCTCTTGGAAAGAGTGGAGAGAGATGCCTGTGAACAGGGAAGACCTGCATTCCATGCCTTAGTTGGCCATCTGCTGAGGCAGCATGCCTGCCAATTTCTCCCTTTGAACAAAGGAGGGACAGATAGGCAGCGGGGTGGCTCCTGCCTGCAATCCTCGCACTCTGGGGGGCTGAGATGAGGAGTCAGGGAAAGGACTGCTTGAGGTCAGGAGTTCAAGACCAGGCTAAGCAAGAGAGAGACGCCATCTCTACTAAAAATAGAAAAATTAGCCAGGCGTGATGCCGTGTGCCTGGAGTCCCAGCTACTTGGGAGGCTGAGGCAGGAGGATCGCTTGAGCCCAGGCGTTTGAAGTTGCAGTGAGTTCTGATGACACCACTGCACTCTTGCCGAGGCAACAGATCAAGACCCTGTCTCCAAAAAAAAAACAAGAAAGGAAAAGAAAAAAAATCACAGAAGCAAAACTCTAACTCATCTACAAATGCGGCTCAGGACGATTTAAAATTCCCTAGGCAAGTATTGTCTGTGATGTTTTAAAATGTGTTTTAATTAGCTACATTTCAGTTAGGAATATAGGAGATATCTACATTTCTCAAAGGAGAGCCTCAAACATCTCTTCTGTGAATAATAGAAGGTCATATGTATTATTTTTTGTAATCAGTATTTTGAAATTTTCCATAATGAAAATGCATTACTTGTGCTGTTGGTTTTTTTTTTTTTTTAAGATTATTAGGACTGTCAAACAAGCTCAAACTGGAAAAAAGTTGTCTTAGCCTAAGGCCCCACATTACTAGTGGGATACAGTAGAGGAGGTGGGCAGCTAGCAAAATTCAACGAGTGGGATGTCTGAAATATGAGAGCATCATTTGGAAATTTTTCATATGAACTTTTTTTTTTGGAGACAGAGTCTCACTCTGTTACCTGAGCTAGAGTGCCGTGGCGTCAGCCTAGCTCACAGCAACCTCAAAATCCTGGGCTCAAGCGATCCTCTTGCCTCAGCCTCCCAAGTAGGTGGGACTACAGGCGTGCACCACCACACCCAGCTAATTTTTTGTTTCTATTTTTAGTTGACTGGCTAATTTTTTCTATTTTTAATTTAATTTATTACTTTGTTTTGTTTTGTTTTGTTTTTTTGAGACAGAGTCTCGCTCCGTTGCCCGGGCTAGAGTGCTGTGGCCTCAGCCTAGCTCACAGCAACCTCAAACTCCTCGGCTGGAGCAACCCTCCTGCCTCAGCCTCCCAAGTAGCTGGAACTACAGGCATGTGCCACCACCATGCCCAGCTAATTTTTTCTATATATATTTTTAGTTGTCCAGACAATTTCTTTCTGTTTTTAGTAGAGACAGGATCTTGCTCTTGTTCAGGCTGGTCTCGAACTCCTGACCTCGAGCGATCCTCCCACCTCGGCCTCCCAGAGTGCTAGGATTACAGGCATAAGCCACCGTGCCCGGCTGACACTATGTTATTAATAGCTCTCCCATTGTGTCTGGATGTTAACATTTTACATGGAAAGATCTTACAGAAAGGTCCTATTATAGGATATAGTGTACATCTTTTGTTTTTGCTGCTCCGCACTCATTCCTTTGAGGTAATCCTCTAATCTTCCTCCTTCTGGTAGGCTGTTAATTGTGGGATCCCGCCGCTGACTAGACAGGTGGGCGTATCATCTGTAACAGGCCAACCAAGCTCTGACCAGGGAATGTTAATGTTGACATGAAGCACACAAGTACTGCAGTGGGTTGAACCTGACTATCTGCTGGCGGCAGCCTAAATAGGAAGCACGCAAATTCCCAGTCCTGAGATCTAGATTTTTCTGGTTGGTTCAAGACGTTCTCAAGGCCCAGGGGTTGAATTCCTCCTTCTATACTAGTCAATAAACTTTGTGTAGTCACCAGGTATGGAGGCAGCCTCATGCCAAATTAGTTTAATTTAATAATGATCATATGAAAGACACTTAACTTCATCAATAATATATCATATTGACTTATTAGCTAGGCAACAGTTTAAAAGTGTGACCATTGTCAAATCTGGTGAGGAAGCAGATTGGATACAACCTATTTATTTATTTATTTATTTATTTTAGAGACAGGGTCTCACTCTTGCTCAGGCTGGTCTCCTGAGCTGCATCGATCCTCTCATCTTGGCCTCCCAGAGTGGTAGGATTACAGGCGTGAGCCACCCCGCTCCACTGGATACAACTTATTTAAAGAGCAACAGTAATATCAAAATCAAAATCAAAATTGTGCATATCCTTTGACCCAGCAATTATACTTCTAGGAAGTCAATTTAGAGAAACACTTGGGTAAGTGCTTAAAAATCTGTTCCTTCCATTGTTGTGGTAAATGATCTAATCATTCGACAGGGTACTGGTTGGATAAACTGTGGAATATCCATGTAATGCGTATAAACATAACATATAAAAAGAATGAATTAGATTTATATGTGCTGATATGGGAAAAGATTTTCATAAATACATAGAGCAATGAAAAAAATAAGCTGGAGAATAGAACACATAGTTAAAATACCGTTTTTTAAAGAACAAGATGTGCTGAAAAGTGACATCATCATTTTCCCTAACTGGCAAAGGTGATTACTCTGTACCCCCTTGTGCTGAATTATTTTTCTTTAGAGCATTCATCCTCATCTTTGTTTATTGTTTGTAGAAAGTTCCATGTGTACAAGGACTTTATTTATTCAATGCTCTATCCTCAGCTCCTGAAACATTTCAAGTATTAAATAATTATTAACTTAAAAAATATTCAGACAGATGAACTGTCCAACAAAGAAAAAAATAACAAAAAATAAAAGCGAAGAAAAAAAATTTAATTGAAAAATAAAAATATGGATGATACAGAAACACACACGCGTATTTTCATAAAGTTGTATGTATTTCAAACAATGTGGATTTAAGAGAATAAATTCTCCACAAGCTGATACTAACTGTAGGTGCAGCTAAAATATCCTAAAATGTTTCTATGGTCCTTTTCCAGTTGACAAAGCAGCTTTACTTAAAGAGTCTCATTTGGTCCTGATAACATCACTAACATCACTGTGAAATACATAAAAAATAGAAATAATTAACATATATTTGCCCTTTACGGTTTGCTAAAGTCATTCTTTCAATTAATGATCTCAATCCTGTTCGGCTCATTCCCATTTTATTCTCCAGACTTCTAATTTTCTGAACCCTGCAGAGTTTCTGCATCCCTCGTTCGAGAATGTTCTTCCCCGCTATCATCCTTCAAAACCCGGTTCGAGCCGACAACCCAAAACCCGCCCCGGAGACAACACAGTCCCGCCCCCTCCCACCCACGACCTCCGCGAAGACGCCGCCGCCGAGGCGGCCCCGGAAGCCCTCGAGGCCCGTCTGGCCCCGCCCATGTCCACGGCCGTCCGGGATCGAAGTCCCCGCCCCCTCCGAGGAGTTTCCCAAAATCCCGCGCGGCAGGCCGCGGCCGCGCTAAGATGGCGACTCCCATGCATCGGCTCATAGCCCGGAGACAAGCGTAAGTGAGGGTCCGACTGGGGCCCGGGGCGGGGAGACACGCATCAGCGGGCGGGTGTCGGATTCCTTGTGAGGACCGGCGGAGGACGGCCGTTTCTCAAACACGCTGCCAGCCTCCGACGGGCTCGGGCCCAGGAGATAAGTTTGGTGACTATAGGTTAGCGTTTTCGCGGAGGACAGTCGCGTAAGGTCCGCGGGATGGGACAGAGCCGGGTCTGAAGAGAACCGCCGCGTTCGCCTTTCCCGAAGGGAAGGTCCAGCAGTTGGTCACTCAGTGGTTTATGCCCCTCCGCCAGCCCCACGCGTGGGCGTGGGCAGCCTGAAGCCCTGGTCCGCCACCTGCATTCCCACCGGCGTAAACCTTCAGCTTCCAGCCCAGCGGGCTTTTTCTGTTCCCTTTCTGGCGGCTTCTTTAGGAACAGCCTGCCTGCAACGCCGACTCTTCTCCCAGGCTGTCGTCTCGCTTTTTGCCACTAATTCTCTCCCGCAATAAGTATTAATTGATTTGGTACCCAGTACTCTGAGTCCGAATTTGGGTATAAAGAAAAACAGATGTTCAAGACAAAACCCCTGTTTTAAGGGAGTTCGCATTCCAACGGTGGAAACAGTTAATAAACTAAATAAGTTAAGTACATACAGCTGGTTATAAGAGCTTCGACGGAAATAAGCTGTTAGGACGGAAGGAGGGAAAGGTCCGCTTTAGGTGGGTGGGACTGGAAAGGCAGCTCCGAAGAAGTGGCGTTTGAACAGAGATTGGAAGGGTGAAAAGGAGCAGTCATGAGAGGATTTGGGGAAGGAGCATCCAGACAGTGGCATAAATGCTTTGAGTCTGGGAAGAACTTAGTTTTTAAGAACTGAAAGATGGTCATTGTGCCTAATGAGCAAGAGAGAGTGGCACAAGAGATTTACAGTGGACAGATAACGCGAGGGTTATCGCAGATGCCTCCTTCTTGTAAAGCCTTTCTCTACTAACCTGCACATCCAAACAACATCTGCCCGTTTTTCATTCAGCATTTCATACCATCACCATTTGCATGTCTATAATATGTAGCTCACAGTCTGCTAACGTGTTTCTTTGTTTATAGTTCTTCTTCTTCTTCTTTTTTTTTTTTAATTCAAAGAGCCCCTTTCCTTCTCTCCAGCCACTCTACCTCTTAGGCCTGATGAGAAGAATTCCTTGCATGTAGGATAAAGACTTAGGGAATCAGAGTAGTGGGCTTGGTGGAGGAAGAAGGCTTTGAAATCAGACACTTGTGAGATCAAGAATGATGTAACCAGTGGGCACCTGTAATCCTAGCACTCTGGGAGGCCGAGGCAGGAGGATCGTTTGAGGTCAAGAGTTTGAGACCAGCCTGAGCAAGAGTGAGACCGCCATCTCTATTAAAATAAAAATTTTAAAAATGGGCGGGGTGCAGTGGCTCACGCCTGTAATCCTAGCACTCTGGGAGGGGAGGCAGAGGCAGAAGGATTGCTTGAGCTCAGGAGTTTGAGGTTGCAGTGAGCTACAGTGATGCCACTGCACTCTACCCAGACAGAGCAAGACTCTGTCTCAAAAAAGAAAAGAAGAATGGGATGATAATAATACGTAAGAGGAGTGCTAAATGATGTCACCAGGGTCCCATTTCTCCTTCTCTCTCTCTCTCTCTCTCAAGCTTTCTCTTTTGGTTGTTGGCTCCATACTTGGATAAGGTCTCTCCTTTTGTCCCTAGGTGGCTAAACTTTTAGGGCCTTTATATCCTCTCAGCTTCAATTTGATTGCACTTCTTTGTTCTAGATTGGATTACACTCCCCACCATGAATCATGGCCATGGGATTGTTAACCTCTGATTGATTTAGTCATTTCATTCTCCTCCCAGTACAATTGAATGGGTGACCATAAACCAACGATGAGCTAGGTAGGTAGGTCAGAGGAGATAAATGAATGCTAGATTGGCAAAACCAACCAATGTCCACTGTAAATATGAAGTGAAAATAAGACTTAGCATCTAAATAATATTGCTATTTCTTGATTCTGAAGTATCAGAAAGCTAAATGTTTCATTTCTACAGTTTGCCTTATTTGGTTCATGAACTACACAGAAGTAAAAGACAAATCTTAACTTTAAGAGTTTCTGGTCTTACTGGGAAGAAAACATGTGGTATAATAAAAACTATTGTGTATATAGACTATAAGTCCCCAAAGGATTCAGAGAAGGAAGGACCTTTAGAGGCTAGGGGAGACCAGGAGAATTTTAAGGATATATTTGGGAGGAAAGCAAGAGAGGAACCTTTACTTTTAATATTATATTCATCAAAAATGTTTGATTTTATTTATAAGTAGCATATATTACTTCTATAATAACAAGTTTAAAACTTTTTAAGCTAATTTTGAGACGTGAGAAAGTACTTAGGTCATTCTTTAATTAAAAAAAAAGTCTTTGGGCCAGGCACAGTGGCTCATACCTATATTCCTAGCACTTTGAGAGGCCAAGGCTGGAGGATCACTTGAGGCCAGGAGTTTGAGACCAGCCTGAGCAACATAGACAGACTACCCCCCTCCCCCAAAAAATGAGCTGAGCATGGTGGTGCACACCTGTAGTCCCAGCTACTGGAGAGGCAGAGGCAGGAGGATCACTTGAGCCCAGGAGTTCCAGGTTACAGTGAGCTATGAGGATGCAGCTGCTGCACTCTAGCCCGGGTGACAGAGGAAGACCCTAACTTAAAAAAAAAAAAAAAGTCTTTGGACTAATAGAGGAAAGAGGAGAAATAAAAAGAACCTAAATATGAACTCCACATTCAGTAGATTTTTCAAGGATTCAACTAATCAATCTACTTTAAATCAATTGGGATGAAATTATTTGTACCTTGTAAATGTGATTTCATCTACCCGTATGTAAGTAGATTGTAGAATCTTTGCACTATTCGAGGTCATTTCTTCTACTAAACCTTATACTGGAATCCACTGCTCTCCAGTATCCAAGGAGGTCATCTAACTTGGCTTGAAGACCTCCAGTAATGATATACTCACCTCTCGAAGTTGCCTGTTTACATTTTTCTTACCTATCAAAAAGTTTATGTTGGGGCCAGGCATGGTGGCTCAGGCTTGTAATTCTAGCACTCCGGAAGGCTGAGGCAGGAGGATTGCTTGAGGTCGGGAGTTCAAGACCAGCCTGAACAAGAGCGGGAGACCCCATCTGTACTATAATAAAAATAGAAAAAATTAGCTGGGCACATGCCTGTAGTCCCAGCTACTCAGGAGGTTGAGGCAGGAGGATCACTGGAGCCCAGGAGTTGGAGGTTGCAGTGAGCTAGATTGTGCCACTGCACTCTAGGGGGGACAACAGAGCGAGACCCTCTCTCAAAAAAAAGTTGAGCTGAAAGCAAATTCATATTTATATTATTAGACGTTGCTTCCTTCTGACTTGTCTACTTTTGCCCCAAGCTGTGATTTCAGTCAGTTAAAAACCCCGTTTTTCACCTGAATTGCCATCAAGTCAGGCCTCCCTGTCTTGTATTCATTTCTGGTCTTAAGTGCTTAAGTGTCGGACTTACCTTTATCCTTGTTAAATTTCATCTTGTTAGATCCGGCACAGAGTTCCAGCCTGTCAAGACCCTTTGGATCCTGATTCGGTCATCCATCATATTAGCTATCCCTGTCAGCTTTGTGTCAACTGCAGGTTTGATAAGTATGCACATTTGTGTCCTCATCCACGTCATTTACAAAAATGTCGAACAAGACCAACTCAGGACCGAACCATGCAGGCCATCCCTGGGTCTCTGTGTATGTAGTCGTGTGCCACATACCGACTTCTCGGTGAGGGACGGACCCCGTGTACTGTGGTGGTCCCATAAGATTATAATGGAACTGAAAAACTCCTATCGTCCAGTGACGTCTTGGTGATCCTGACTGTATGTAGACCTAGGCTGATGTGTGTGTCTTCATTTTTAACAAAAAAGTTCAAAAAGTTACAACTTCTAAAAATAGGAAAAAGGCTGGTCCAAAGGTAGTGAGTTATCTCGATTGATTGTTCACAGTCACAGATCAAATTCCTTGTTCTATTCTTTCCCCTTCTCAATATTGCACTTGACTAGTCTTAAAAAAGGTTATAGAATAAGGTTATAAAGAAAATATTTTAGTCTGGCTGTATAGTGTGTGTTTTAAGCTTTTGTAATAAGTTATTAGAAGAGTCAAAAAGTTAAAAAATTTAAAAGTTTATAAAGTAAGAAGTTACAGTAACCAAAGTTTAATTTACTATTGAAGAAAGTACATTTTTAAAATAAATTCAGTGCTGCCTAAGTTTTCAGTGTTTATAAGGTCCACAGTAAGGTCCTAGGCCTTCACAGCCACTCACCTCTCACTCATGGACTCACCCAGAGCGACTTCTAGTCCCGCACGCTCCATTCATGGCAAGTGCCCTGTACCGGTGTATCATGTTTTAGCTTTTTTTTTTTTTTGAGACAGGATATTGTTCTGTTGTCTGGGCTAGAGTGCAGTGGCTTCACCATAGTTCACTACAACCTCAAACTCCTGGACTCAGTCTATCTTCCTGCTTCAGCCTCCCTAGGAGCTGGGACTGCAGGGGTACACCACCTGTGCCCGTCCAATTTTCTTATTTTTCGTAGAGACAGAGTCATTTTGTATCATACCTTTTCTATGTTTAGATACACAAATACTTACCATTATGTTAGACTGCCCACGGTATTCAGTGCAGTAACGTGCTTCACAGCCCAGGAGCCATAGGCTGTACCCTGCAGCGTAGGTGTGCAGCAGGCCACACCATCTAGCTCTGTGTGGGTGTACTCTATGGTGTTTGCACAAGGACAAAATCGCCTAGCACCACATTTGTCAGAACGTGTCCTTGTTAAGTGAAGCATGACTATTTACTTCAACCCATTAAACAGCACCCTTTGTCCATGTTACTCAACTGATCTACCTAATTGTTCTGTCTTGTTCATAAGAATATTGGGAGAGGCTTTTTAAATTGTCTTACTGAAATACAGATACCTAAAAGGCAATAAGGGTGTCAGTCTGTAATGATTTGATACCTAGTGATGATGGTTTTCTTTCTGAATGGATTTAATAAATCCAGCCAGAATTTTGCCTGGCATTGGTGTCATTCAGGTTCTCTGGTATGGTGTGTAGACTCCGTTTCCCCTGCTTTGAAAATCAAAACAGCATTTGCCTACCTCAGTCTTCCAGCACCACTCCTGTTCGCCAGAGTTCCTCAGACTACTGGTGGCAGTAGAGCAGTGTCCCCGGGAGAATCTGCTGGTATGTCAGCGATCACCTGTCCCTGTAACTGAAACACATTCAGAACAGATAAAGGCTCTGTTACCCACCCCTCAGGTATCTTGGACTTTGATTTTGTTCATTGTGTTTGAGAGTCAAAAATGGTTCTGCTCACTTTGTGAGCCTGTAACAATGAAAACGTTGGTGTCCTATTTATTTGCCTAGCACCCTAAATACTGAGCCTGTCCATTTTTTGATTCTTTGTGCTTTAAACATAACTAAAACAATGAAATGAGTTTTTGGTGTCCTTGGTATTTTTCACTAGTTTCAGCTTATTTTGGTGAGGAGGCTTTCAGATATATCTCTTACAGGCTTTTATCACTTGTCTATATTCATTCTTAGTTTTACATGTTCCATTAAAAATGTCCCTTAAAATTTGTTTTATGATTTCACATGCAATCCATGTTCATTGTAAAGTAGTTAGAAAATACGGATAAGGAAAAAAAGTATAATCCTTCCCCAAAGATTATCAGTTTACATTTTAATGTATGATCTTTTAGGCAATTTGTAACATTTTAAATGGTCTCCTAGTGTTCTCTATAGTTAATTTAGTAACTTTTTAGCTATTTCCTTTGTTGTTGGACTGTTAGGTTTATTCTGAAAACTATATTGTACTTCCTGTAGTAAATATTCCTACAACTAAAACTTTGCATGTATCTATTATTATTTCTGGACCAAATCGTGTGAGCATTTTTTAAGAGCCACATTTATTGAGGTATAATTTACATACTGTGAAATGCATCTTTTTTAATGTACAGTTCTGACAAATTCATAGGGTTGTGTAACCACTACCAAAATCAAGATAAAGGACACTTCCATCACTCTATTGATTTTTATATATTGACGTTATATCTAATAAAAGGTTCCACAAACCATAGTCACTGAATCCTGTTTTTGGAGGCTCATAAGCTAAGAATGTTATTTACCAATGTGCATATGTGATCATTTTGATGATGAAGAACACTAACTTTGAACCCCAAAAGAGTGAAATGTTAGCCTTCAAAAAAGAATTTCATTCTCTCATTAGTAGACTTCTATCATATAAAATTGTACCCAAATATTATATTTTAATTTTCATCAATAAAATAATTTGTGAAAATTTGTTTTCTGTCCTGCTATATAAGTACCTATATAATATCCACAATTTTGCCTCTTGTTCTACAAAGCCTAAAATATTTACCACGTGACCCTTTACAGAAAACATTTGCCAACCCCAATCTAAAACCTTGCTAAACTCACCTAGTTCTAATTATTTCAAAATATTTTTATATTGATTGTTTTGGATTTGCAATGTACGTAATACATCATTGATAAGGAATGACAGTTTTATTTCTTCCTTTCTAATTCTTTCACCTATTTTTCTTCCCTTGCTATATCTCAATCAAACTTTAGGGATTGAGATTTTTCTCAGTCTTCTAGATAACTAGAAAGAAGCTGGGCTTCAGTCTATAAAATGCCTGGTTTATTCTTAGAGTATAGCCCTTCAGATCTTAACACTGGAAACAAAGTTTATCTCCCGAGCTTGTAATAAGTGATGCTTGCCGTCCTGGGATGGGCAGACGCCTTCAGCACAGGAGTTGACTTAACTCTGGATTTCCATCTTCTTCCATATCTTGATTTGAATATTCCACACCTCCTTGTTGATTCTGATCCCTCTAGCAGATTGTTGAAAATATTTTTGACATCTTTTCTATTTCTGAGCTAGAGAATCACCTGAGTTACGTAGTCTGTCATTACTGGAACAGAATTGAGGAGCCAAGATTTGAACTCAACTCCATCTTAACTCTAAGGTCCTTGCTTTTAACCACTTATTATACTTCATTGTATTGAATCTTATATAAACACTGTAAAGTGTAAAATGATTATTTTTATGAATCTGACCTCAAACATTATATTTTATATTGTTTATGCTTTTCAGGACAAAAAAAATGTCACAAGGCAGAATTTTAAGGCTTGTATTCTATTTTTTGCTCTTTAGTGAAGCAAATAAGCAACATGTAAGATGTCAGAAATGCTTGGAGTTTGGACATTGGACTTATGAATGCACAGGAAAAAGAAAATACCTACATAGGCCTTCAAGAACAGCAGAACTAAAGAAAGCTTTAAAAGAAAAAGAAAACAGACTGTTATTACAACAAAGGTAGGTTTACATGTACCCAAATGAATATTTTTATATATATATTTATAGAATTTATTAAGGGACTACATGTTTCATGATGGTTCTCCAGATCTTAATTATAATACTAGCTAATGTTAAGGAATGCTGACCATGAGCCAGGCACTGTACTAAGCTCTTTATAACTATTTAAGGATTATTTAAGCCTCACATCTATACTGTTAAGGTAGGTACTATTAGTGTCCTCATTTTACATATGAAGAAACTGAAGCACAGAGAAGTTCATTAACTTGCTCATTGTCACACAACTGCTAAATTGAAAAGTCAAGTGTTAAACCAACCAGCCCATCTTGAGAGTTCATGCTCTTAATCATTTTGCCTTATTACCTCAACTGTCAGTGAAATGACAACAGAATACTAAGGGGTAGATTATACGAGCTGATATGGAAAGCTATCCAAAGTACATTAAGTATATAAACTAGGTAGAGAACAGTATATATAGTATGCTGTGATCTATGGAATTTCTTTATTTAGAAATGGACATGATTAATAATAGTGGTTACTTCCTAGAAGGAGAATTAGACAGGAAGGAGACTGGAAAATTATTTACTCTTTTATGTCCTTTGAATAATGTGCTTTACATCCTTTAAATAATGTGTATTTATTCCTGTGAAATAAGTAAGGATACGTATTTTACAGAAGCTGAAATAGGAAGGTGTTGGGTATATTTAGTGCTACAGATTAGAAACAGCATCTTCATAAGAACCGTTAGCTATATAGCAATAGTATCTTGAACATCTGGACTTTCGAGGCAGCAGTCTTCCAGTTTGTGGACATGAAAGCTCTTCCAGGGTCATGCGGGAATAGATAAACAACCAATTTCTAGATCAGCAACATTCCTATATACTATTTCCAAAAGCAAACGTGGAAGAGAACTTGCCTACTGGTTCTCCTTTTTCACTTCTCCTTTCCGACAGTCCTCCTCTCATTTCACAAAAGAAAGGCGTGCCTCTTACCCATTTCTAATCATACCTTAGCGTATTGTCCTCGTGTGTAAAAACCAAGAGGGTTTTTCGGAATACTATCGTTTGTACTGAGAAAGTGAATGGCCATAATTACTGGGAGTAAATTCTAAGTTTTTTTTTCCCCCCAACAAAATTGAAGGAGGGCCTAATTGAATTGTCAACTTAAAATATATTTTAATGATGTATCCTTATATGACTTGTGGAATATAACATTTAAGGAATTCAAAGAATTGAGTGACATTGCTATAACAAAGCTTTCTATTCTGATCTGCCTATTTAGGTTGACAAGGTTTCTCAGGGTTAAATCTATAAAAATTAAAAATAGGGATTGATTGATGCTGAACCTTGTTTTCACATTCTAGCAATAAGAAGTATTTATTCACAGATTTATAAACTAGAAAAAATCCATGTCATTAAGAAATGCATTTCCACTAGAGTTACTTTTGTTATTATTTATTAAACTTTTTAATGTATATTTTAATCAATTTCACATTAATAATAATAGTAACTCAATTCAGAATTTTTAAACACAGCCTATGATCACAGATAATTAAAAGATACAATTTCAAGTTATGTCTATATTTTATTACAGAGAAATATCGTAAGTGATCACTAAAATTTTTAGGTATACAAGTATGTTAGGATACATTCTATGGGGAAAGCAGAATAAAAGCGCAAGTTCAAGGAAGAAAAGGACAATATAAAAGTACCAATTGCTGAAGATAAACTTGTCCATATATTTTTCCAAGTGAATGGTGGTAGTTATCTAAATATTGTAGCATTTAGTTTCACAGGTTACAATTACAAATGTGGTATGACAATTTTCTTTTTAAAATATTTTTCTGTATATATAATATACCCTTTACAAATTATAAAACTTGGAATTAAAAAAAAGTATGAGTTTTCCAAAATTTTTTTATTAGGTATGTGAGCAAAAAATATTTGAAGACCCTTGTCCTAAAGAATAAAACATAAGGCTGGACACAGTGGCTCATGCCTGTAATCCCAGGGCCTTGGGAGGGTGAGGCAGGAAAATCACTTGAGTACAGGAGAACAAGGCTGCAGTGAGCTGTGATCGCACCACTGCATCCCAGCATGGGAAACAGAGCCGGACCCTGTCTCTTAAAAAAGGGAAAAAAAATGGAAATAAGAGAGTACCGACATTTACTTTTGTTTTTGTGTATCATACAAGTATTTTGGTCTTAAAATACGTAGAACTTCAACATTCCGTAAATCCAGCAACAAAAACAAACATATATATATGTAGAACTACATGAATATTAGATCTGGCTCTATTATATAAAGACTGCTGGGTTTTGATTCAATTAAAAAAAAGACATATGAATTTTGGTGATCATGAATTCTTACAGTGTGATTTAATAAATGTACTTTCCTCATTTATTTTACTCCCCAGATGATAATTCAGTAAATAATTCCATTGTGTAAAAAACTTGACATAAATACATTTTTATGTTTGGAGACTCGGGAATAAGGAGAAAGACATTAGGAAATATAGAGAAGTCAGAATACAGAAATGTTAACTTTACAGGACAGTGCCGTAGTGATAGAAGTGATCCTGTAATTGGAAAACCTGATTCAGTATGCATGTCATTTGGCAGAAATACAGCAGCAAGCCATTTGTACATTTCATTCAAATTCAGCAGACTTTGTTCTTTATAGATAACGTGAGGAAACACAGTCCTGAAGTTTTAATTTGCTGGTCTTTAAAGAGTAAATAACAACATTTGAGAGACATGCAAGAAAAAGAGTTATTTTAAATTAAAAGATTGCTTTCTAAAAAAATATGAAATGGCCATTTATAATATTCTGAGAACTCAAATTAAAAATTATAGTTATTATGCTATTATTTACTTTGTTTCGTTATTCAGTAAGTAGTTGATATAGCTATGTCAACGTAATTTCCAAACTAAAAAGGAGTCAAATTTGTGCATTTAATATTCTTAACTACTAACTTACCTGGCTTTTAAGGTCCAGGTGATAAAACATGTTTTGCTTAAGTGCTGGTTAAGTTGACTTCATATACCATATACAGCCTACAATAGGAAACTTTCCACTTGGCTATAACAAGAAATACTGTACCCTGGATACTTGTTACAAAAAGACAAAGCGTTTCTCCAGTGTAAAACAGTTTGGGGGCAGCAGAAGGGTTTGTCTGAGCTGTGTGTAATCACTCTATTAACAGGAGCTTTTTTCCCCCTCGTGTTTATCAGCATTGGAGAAACTAATGTAGAAAGAAAGACCAAGAAAAAAAGGTATGTGTGGCTTTAGGAGTATTATATAGATAATATGTAATGCTAGTTAGAGGGATCAGAAGGGTGATTTTAAAATAATAGCTATAAGATTTAGATCTGAATCTCTTGTTTGCAATTCAAAATTAAATATCATCCTATTTTCTGATTAGTTCCTCTTCTTACCTGTCTGGAATTAATTGTCTCCATTTCTTCTTTTTCTTCAACTTTCTAGAGTCCTTAGACCTGGAAATAGTAAATAATTGTCTTCTCTCAGCTTAGAATAGGAAATGTTATTAAAACTGGTAAGAAATTGTTGGCCAGCCCTATCTGGTCTGAAGTAGTTAAATAAAGATTATGAAACATTTACCAGTCTGCATGAGGTTCAGATAGACCCAGTTGTTACACTGCAACTTTATTCTAACATTATTCACTCTGAAGTATAGTATAGTAGAAATCTTGAACTCTGTCCAAGAGTGTTCAATTGCTGAAGTAACAAGAATAACTTATAAAGGGAGGGGGCATGGCTTACAACAGTCAGGCGAAAAGCATCAGACCTAGGGATCACATGCTGGCAAAGCTTCAGCATGTACATATGTGTGTATATATTGTACTGTGTCCTATGAAATTGCCTTTAAGCATTCTATTAAATGTCAGCTTCCCATGTATATAACTGTTTATTGTCTAATAGGTCTAAAAGTGTAACCAGTTCCAGTAGCAATAGCAGTGACAGTTCAGCCAGTGATTGTTCATCAGATAGTGAAGAAACGTCTACCTCATCCTCCTCAGAAGACAGTGACACTGATGAAAGCTCCTCTAGTTCATCATCCTCGGCCTCCTCCACAACCTGTTCCTCCTCCTCCGAGTCAGACTCAGATTCCAGCTCTTCTGGTAGCAGCAGCACCAGCACAGATAGCAGCTCTGAGGATGAACCGCCAAAGAAAAAGAAAAAGAAATAGAATTGCTCCATACATAGTGGACTGATGGACTGAAAACATTAATGTGATTCTCAAAAGGGAATTTAGAATATATTAAGGCCAAATGGGTTAACTGGTCAAAATTTCTAGAATTCAAAAGTTTCTAAATGTTTTACATTGTAAGAGCATAAAGAGTATTAATAATAATGGATTATAAAGACTTTTTTATTTTAAGGGTGAATCTTGTTCTTTTTTTATCTGTATCTCTAGAACTGAATCAAGGCTGAAATCTGTAAATCTGTTTTTGTGATGAAACTTATCTTTTCTCCCTGTGAAATAAATGCCATACTGTGTTACAGGTTAATAGTATGGATCAGACATGTTTTCAGGATGGTGCATCAGAATATCTGGCAATGAATTTCTAATGCTTTTGGCCGTGTGTTATTATGTAAGGGTTAATATGTTGTTACTATAAGCTTGGGAGTTTCCTCCTGTTAGTAAATGTGCTCTATTTTTATGTGGGAGTTTTCCTACTGTTAGTAAATGTGCTCTATTTTTATGTTTATGTTCAGAAAGTTATTCTGATTTTTTGTCCTAAATACTAAGTTCAAGGAACCTATTAATATATTTATACCTTTGGAATGCTACAAGTTTCAAGTTGCTGTGTTGTATTATTCATTTTCTTCTGGTTCCTTAAGTTATCCTTTTCTGAGGAAAATCATTCTAGAGGAACCTAAAAAAGGACAAAAAATCTGAAACTACTTAGGAGTCTAATCTCAGTGCCTTCTGATAAATTCAGTGTATCAGAAAAGAAAGAAGCCATGTAAAAGGCTAACTTAAGTAAAAGTGCTGTGTGTATTAACATGTTATAACATGTGTTAACATGTGTATTAACATGTTACCATTCAAAGGGGAGAAAAGGGAGGAAGAGAGGTAATTTTTATAGAAAATTAGGGCAATGTTTGGTCACCTTTTATTGAAAGCTTATTTTAAGCTTTCATAAAGATTGCCTTTTTGCCATTTTTGCAATTACAATATTACAGTTTATATGGTAACTGGTCATATATGACAGTCTACTGCATAAATATGAATGGGATTAATCTGATGTGTTTACATAGCATATACACAGTTGCTATCTAGAATGAAAGGTTAAAAAGAAAATACTGCACAATACTTCTTAAAAGTAACATACTCTTATTGTGGTGAGATTGTTTGGTTTAACATCACATTATTCCGTGATGTCTTTTAAACTTTTTGGAAAGAGATATGATTTGTAGAAAAATCTTGATTTGTGTTAAATATAAGTTTGTAAAACTATAAATGTTGTCTTTTTTATATTTTTATGAGAAAGCAGTAGAAAATTACTTTTAAAGAAAATGAGCTTTATTTAAATGTTAAAATATATGTATATTGTGAGTTTAAGGAGCCTGTAATTGCTTGCAAGTTTTACAGAACCATCTGCTTTCAATAATTATAAATAAACTCTCAATACATCATTTCAAGGCTCCATACAGAATGGATCACTTGACAGGTAGATTTAATAAATTACTAATTAAACCCATTTTGCAATGTTTGTCATCTCTGTAAGGGTCATTTTAGCAGTTAACCTGGAAGAGAAAAAAATGTGTTACATAGGTTACATCACTTGCAATTAAATAAAACTCACAATTTGTGTTCACTAAGTGTAAACTTCTGTTATCTCCTTGTTATTTTATTAAACACCAGTTCTTACTCCTTTGAAGGAATGGGCACTTAAACAAATTCTTTTTTTTTTTTTTTTTTTGAGACAGAGTCTCACTCTTTTCCCCAGGCTACAGTGAGTGCGTGGCGTGAGCCTAGCTCACAGCAACCTCACACACCTGGGCTCAAGTGATCCTACTGCTTCAGCCTCCTGAGTAGCTGGGACAACAGGCATGCACCACCATGCCTGGCTAATTTTTTTTCTATATATTTTTAGTTGTCCGGTTAATTTCTTTCTATTTTTAGTAGAGACGGGGTCTCGCTCCTGCTCAGGCTGGTTTCCAACTCCTGAGCTCAAACAATCCGCCCGCCTCGGCCTCCCAGAGAGCTAGGATTACAGACGTGAGCCACCGCGCCCGGCCAGTAAACAAGTTCTGATTTCAAATCGTTACTATTACAACTGTTAAAAGTGTGCATGGGGAAGTACAGAGGGCAGGACTCGATTTTTGTCTAGTCACATGGTTCACTCAAAACAGCAGACTCAGTGGCAAGTAGAGACTAACTTCCAAAGAGTTTCTCTCCATCTTGCCTAAAAGCAGGACTCTGGAAGTTGAGTCCCTGGCAAATGTCGTGAGTATGTAATTTCTTAACCACAACCCTACCAAAAGGAATCATTAGATCACAGGTTTCCATTCCACAAACATTTTGCTAGTATAACTGTGCAATATAGTAATTTTGTCCTAGAATCGAAATATAGCATTAGCCATAAGTTAACAGCGGAAGGGAAAAAGGTGCAGAGTGCGTGTTTCATATTCATAGTTGTATTTATTCCTTTAATTTTTTCTTTTGAACTGACTGTAGGTTTACAGAAAAGCTGCAAACAATGCAATTTCCTTATATCCCTCATCTAGCTTCCCCTAATGTTAACATCTCACGTAACTATAGTATTATACAATGATCAGAACCAAGAAATTAACACTTAGTAAAATACTATTAAACTGAAAACCTTATTCACATTTTACCAGTGTTCCCACTAATGCCCTTTTTCTGTTCCACTATATTACCCAGAAAACGCATTTAGTTACTTCTGTCTCCTACAGTCTTAACAGTTTTCAGTCCTACCTTGTCTTTCATGGAGAGTATTGATCAGTTATTTTGTCTAATGTTCCTCAATTTGGGTTTGGTATTTTTTCCTGGTTGAACTGAGGTTATGCTTTTTGGAAGATTATCACAGAAACTGATGGTCCTCAGTCATCATATCACTAGATTCAGAATAGTGATTTATCACTGGTGATACTGACCTTGATCACTTGGTTAAGGTGGTTTCTGTCATATTTTTCCACTGTAAATTACTATCTTTCCCTTTTTAGTTAATAAAAATCTTGGGGGAGACACTTTGAGAGTATAAGAATTGTTTCTCCTCAAACTCACCCAGTAGCTTTAGCAGATCAGTGGTGGATCTTGTCTACAATTATTACTGTGATGTTTTCCAAATGATGGATTTCTATTTTTTTTTTTTTTAAAGAGATAGAATCTCACTATGTTACCCAGGCTGGTCTCAAAACTCCTGGCCTCAAGTGATCTTCCCATCCTGGCCTCCTAAAGTGCTAGAATTACAGGCATGAGCCACAGTGCCCAGTCTCTTCTACATTTATGTATTTATTTTTTATGTTTTTTTGAGACAGAGTCTCACTCTGTTGCCCGGGCTAGAGTGCCGTGGCGTCAGCCTAGCTCACAGCAACCTCAAACTCCTGGGCTCAAGCAATCCTTCTGCCGCAGCCTCCCAATTAGCTGGGACTACAGGCATGTGCCACCATGCCCGGCTAATTATTTCTCTATTTTTAGTTGTCCAGCTAATTTCTTTTCTTTTTTTTTTTTTTTAGTAGAGACGGGGGTCTCTCTCTTGCTCAGGTTGGTCTCGAACTCCTGAGCTCAAACAATCCGTCCGCCTCGGCCTCCCAGAGTGCTTAGATTACAGGCGTGAGCCACCGCGCCCAGCCTCTTTTCTTTTCTTTTGTTAGCAAATGTACCACATCTTAAAAAGTCCCACCTCCTAATATTGTTACAATTGCAATTAAACTTCAACATGAGTTTTGAAGGGGACAAATGTTTAAACCATAGCACTCACCATTAACTAGAAGAAATAAGATGTCACCACCTTCAACATTTCCCTCCTTCACTTGCTTTGCTTTACTTTCACAAGACTGCAAATAGCCATTGCACTCCAGCCCGGGCAACAGAGCAAGAGTCTGTCTCTAAAAAAAAAAAAAAACCCACAAACTCCTCTTTGGAAGGTATTACACAAAGACATAACATAAGACAAAGAGAGAAAAAGAGGAGATGTATTATTAGGGTTCTCCAGAGAAATAGAACTAATAGGAAACATATATATATATATATACATATAAATATATGTGTGTGTATATATATATATACATACACACACATCCTACATGTATCACATATATATATATAATATATGAGGAAATTTATTGTGGGAAATGGCTCATGCAATCACGGGTGCTGAGAAGTCCCGCAATCTCCTGTCTGCAAGCTGGAGAACCAGGAAATCCAGTGGTATAACTCAGTCTGAGTCCGAAGACCCAGGAAACAGGCGGACTGAGGGTGTAAGCCCCAAAGTTCAAAGGCCCAAGAACCAGGAGCCCTGAAGTCCAAGAGCAGGAGAAGATGGATATTCTAACTCAAAAAGAGAGAATTCACCCTTCCTCTGCTTTTTTGTTCTACTTGGGCTCTCAAGGGATTGTCTGATGCCTGCCCACATTGATCAGGGGGGATTGTCTTTACTCAGTTTACTGATTCAAGTACTAATCTCTCCCTGAAACACCTAGAAATAACGTTTCGCCATGTGTCTGGGCATCCCTTAGTGCAGTCAAGTTGGCACATGAAATTAACTATCATAGGAGATGAAACATGAGAAATGACAACTATTTTGGATGCTAGAAAGTGGATGCTGACTTAAATAACCATAGAAGACAGAAGCCTAAGCCTACAGTGAGGTAAAGTCGACAGGAAGCAGCCGATTTATGCCACAGACTCTGAAAAGCATCCAAACTTGATGGCACTATACAGCTGTCAGCCAAGGCACAGGGAGGACTTGAAAACAGGACTGGTAGAAAGGGGACTTAAGAAAATGCACCCTTCTGCATTCCTCTTCTGCTCATACCCAGTGGGTTTGGTTTTTTTATTCCTTATGCTTTTACTGAGACATTTTGCAAGTGAGTAGTAGTGAACACCCGCCAGGATTAACAAATACTCCATTAATTTAAAATTAGACAAGAAATAATACGAGTTGCCATATACTAAGAGCCACTTGGAATATAGACAATGTGTGTTATTAGACCTCATTTATAAATCTCTAGCACCAGATATTACTCTCACAAAGGTTTTGGGCAAAACCAAGAAAGAAAAACCATAGAACTGCTGGGTAACACGTGCATATGTATGTGGACACAGTGCTGTGTGCTTGATAAGCTGATTCCCTTCCTTAAGAAGTCCTGAGGGGATGGCCGGGTGCGGTGGCTCACGCCTGTAATCCTAGCTCTCTGGGAGGCCGAGGCGGGCGGATTGTTTGAGCTCAGGAGTTCGAAACCAGCCTGAGCAAGAGCGAGACCCCGTCTCTACTAAAAAAAATAGAAAGAAATTAATTGGACAACTAAAAATATATAGAAAAAATTAGCTGGGCATGGTGGCGCATGCCTGTAGTCCCAGCTACTCGGGAGGCTGAGGCAGAAGGATTATTTGAGCCCATAAGTTTGAGGTTGCTGTGAGCTAGGCTGACGCCATGGCACTCTAGCCCGGGCAACAGAGCCAGACTCT